ACATATTTAACTGATACCAACAAGAAAATAGCAGATTCAATTTTCTTGTCTGAGAGTAAAATAAGGATAAATGGTGTATTGACTGTTTATTCATTACACCGTTAGCACTTATAAAGGATAGTCCTATTATTGGACATGTTTTGTCATGATAAGGTTTTCATCAATTGATTTAAACTGACAATTACTTGACCCATTTTATTTCCTAACTTTTTATTGTTTTTTCAAAGGTTGTCGTGGTTCAAATTGTTTCTACAATATAATGTAGCAGGCTATATGAGCATATGACAGTTCGTTTTTGAAGTACGTGATACAACCTTAGAAAGTTACTGATTTTTGAGGATGTTCACTGGTCTTCTTTATGGCGATTTTTCAGATATTCGGTATCCTCTAGTTTTACCAATGTATAGTGCCATTAAACATTTTGCAAACTCAACCCTACTGTTCTTTTCATAATTTTATTACGTAAAGTTCCAAAAGCCATTTTCAAAAATTTTATAAAATATTTGTTACTTTTTTATATTTTTTAAAGAAAAAGGGGGTTAAATGTATGAAAAATTTGGAAAGAATCACGGACCTTGCATGTTTTTCTGCTTTTAAAATTCACTCAATTTAAAACATTTTTTTATAAAAGCTTGTATTTTGAAACAGAGCAGCGAATATCCTTAAGTGACTATGCTGATTGATTGATTGAGAGAGTAAATAATTTCTATTTAACTGTTTTCCTTATTCCGTAGGTTAATTTTTCATTCTTATTTATATTTACACTTGTAATTTACAATGCAGGGCGTGAACATATTCGTGTCGTGCATGCGACAAGAATAGTTCCACGCCCCTGCATTGTCAATCACTTATTACAACTCCTAAATTGTACTGTAAATGTTTATGTCATATACATATTGATGAACATTTTCCCGTTGTCCGTGCACAAAGTTATAATTTTTCTTATCGAAAGATCTGCGCATCAATTAAGTTAAAATATGTAGCGAAAATAACGGCCGATGGAGAGTTGTTGAATTTACTGTAGAATGTGGATTGAGCTAAATAGATTTGACTCGAAAGATAAGAATAGTTTATTGTATACAACTCAAATTTGGTATACTGTTTAACACAGGAATAAACTTTTGTAGACGACGTCTTTAATGTTTGTCTTGAATATAATACATGAAATATTTGCCACTAGTCGTTTACGCAAAAATCAATCGTTCAATCCATCAATGTAATTTGCCTAAACATGTACAATTTTCAATAGTTTTTTTTTCTCAAAGTAGTCTACAACAGCAATTTTAATCATTGAAATTTTAATGGTATGCACATATGGACATATGATATGAGGCAATTATTGCTAAATTCCGTAAAAAAATCTTCTATCTTTCAACAACTTTCGGGATTTAATCCCCTGACTGAGCGGAACAAATTCAGAGGAAATAGTCGTGCACCGTTTGATAATGAAACTCTTTGTCAAAAACTAGAATCGCCATAATGAAATTCAAATTTTTACAGGGTTTTTCATAACCAATACGATCTGAATTCTAGGTAGTACAGCGGACAGGCGAACGGGTTATCGGTCAGCACAAGCTAATTCTGCTTAATAGATTGAAAACCATTCAAAACAAACCCATGAAACTATGACACAATGTATGCAATACTTATAACTGAAAGCCGCAATAAACGCCAATGAACAATAATAGTAAAGTAAGTACCTTCTAGTATTGTATTAAGGACATAGTGAAACAAGATAAAAATTGAACTTTAAAAGCTTGTAATTTTTAAGTTAGAAAAAAAAACTTAACCACTTCATATTTTCAGATTCAAATTTTGAATTTGTTTTAGTCCAAATTTTTCGACATTTTGAGAAAAAAATACTTTTTCTAAATCAAGAATTTGTAGTGTTCATATTTACTCTAAAGCCTATCTAGTGGCAATGCCCTTTATTTCAATAAAAAATTGACGCTGGTTCTGATCATCATACCTAATATTATGAGGTGACTACATAAATAATTTGCAAAAAAGTAACTGTGAAATGACAACTGTTATAAGTATTAAACTTAGAGGAACAAATTATATGTCCGTAAAGTACATAGCGTCACGATTTTGAAATAATTCAAACAAACTGATCATTTAATTAATTCAGAACGAACATGACTTATTGAAATTTTGTGGATATCTGTAATATAACACTCTGAGTTTAAAAGAATTAATCAATTTTGGTTTGTATTTATTATAAAATTACCGAGTGAACAAGCTATTATCTACTTGAAATTTCTCATAAAAGTAATATAAACAGATGAAACGGTAAATAATATAAGAGATATTTTGTTGTATGTCAAGTATGAGGGTCTCGATGGGGGTCCTTCATTTCTATATTCTTTAATTTTTAGGCCATTTTTCTCTATTCTTTATTTTTTTGGCCCATTATTCTCTATTATTTATATTTTAGCACCTCATTATTCTCTATTCTTTTTTTTTTGGTCCATTTTCCTCTATTCTGTATATTTTTCCCCATTATTCTATATTCTGAAAACCCCCATCCACACCCTTAAGTATTTATAGTATGTTAATGAAACACACGAAATTAACTTTTGGAACAGTTTGAAACCAATTACCATCGTTAATTTCTATTGGCTGTTAAAATCTTTTCGAAAATATATTTAAACCGACTTTTTTTATAGTCGCTTTAAATATTTAACATAACACTTGAGTTTTGAATATTGTTGTGATATATGAAATAAACCTGACAAAGTTATCTTGAAAAAACTATTAAAACGCTTAAACATCCGACAAAATGAGTTGCACTTCAGTTTCAATAACTAATGGATACATTCAGTCTGCATTGAACTTGTACAACGTAAATGAAACAGTAACTTACGCATGTAATACGTTTTATACACTCTCCGGAAACGCTGTAGCTACGTGTAAAGACGTTAATGGCACGTGGTCCAGTATACCTTCATGTAAACTTGTCTTTTATGATAATGGTAAGTTCTAGTTACATCTTAGGGATAATGGATACACTTTGACAAAAGTTGAATACCAAATATTATTCAATTAAGTAGTGAAAACGTTTAAATAAACGTAAAGGGTAAATGCAAAATTTAAAGAATCGTCAGAGCATTGTCACTTTCTGTATATTAAGTGAGTTCATGCAATTAAAGGATACCGGACTTGCATAATCAAATAATGAATTGATTTCAGCGCTGTAAGCTGAAAAACTAGTTGTCGCCAAAAAAGTATACAAAACTTCACTATCTTTTAAGCACGACAAAACTAAAAAATTGACAGATCTCGATTTTGTAAGTTACACCTTGGGCTTTTCAACCACGGTATCACTACTTTGATTGTTTTATACTGCAGCTGACGTTAAATGAATACATTAAATGTACAATATTCGTACAGTGTAAGGAGATATCAAATTTATTTGACAAGCTTTAGAAACAGAGAGAAAAGCAAGGCTTGCCGAGATTTTCTCCTGTTCACGAGTCATATTAAGTTACTGATTTAGATTATTCAATAAACACTTGTCGTACACATATAAATCAGTACGTACGTTTATATCATGTGAACACTTTTATGACTTGGCAATGTTTCATTAAATGTATTGTCATTAGCAACGAAGTTGTAACGTTCTTTGTTTGTGGATATCAACCAACTGTTAGTTAAGCTTATAAACCAACCAAGATTTGACAAAAAAAAACCAACTAATGTTGATAAAGCAGTGCACTAAAGGTTGATGGTGTTTTCCAATCTATCTAATGTTTGTAATGGCCATGTTACAAAAGAAATAGGAGTTCAGAGCTCTTTTTTCAAAGATTGCTTTTCATAAAAATGTTTCTGGTTTGTTAGTTCTTGATGTTTTATTAAAAATCCTTTGCCAAGTTTAATATTGGATATTTACTCATTCCAAATTACAATAAAGATATGGAAAAACATTTACCCAGACGAAAGGATATCGGAATTGAGAAATAATTTCAAATTTCGCAGAAATTAAATACACAACAATTTAATCAGATGCCAGTATCAAGTTATCATTTACTCAATTTGAAAATAAGCAGATGTAGTTTGATTGCCAAATATAAAGACCGAAAGACAAAGCTGTGATCAATTATAGGTAACCTTACGGCCTTTCAACAGTCTGCAAAACCTATACCGTATATGAAACAATAAAAGGTCAGGTTTGACCAAATGAATTTGGCAATATAATAGCAACCAATGACCACCAATGTACAACGGGTTCCTTGCATTGAACTTTTAACTTCACTTCCTTTTTAATTTTTATACAATTTTGTGTATAAGTCTGTTTTCAGGGGAACGTAATTGGTACCAACTGGAATACCTATAGTGTCTTTTGAATATTTATCGAGAATAATCATATTATTATAAGTTGTCAATGGAAAAGTCTAACACATTAATAAAATATTGACTGCCGAAATCATACAATGTAATATTTCAAACGTATATTTATCTTATTTTTTAGTTAACGATCTTAGAACTGAAACACGTCTCAAAGGAATAATATTTTAGCATGACGTGTTGTCTAACCATGAGATTTTATTGCGATCGTTTAAAAATGGTGTTTATACCGTCATAGGATTGCTCTTCTGTCTATCATTTTTAGTTTTGCTATTTAATTATGATAAGGTGTACGTACAAAAATATAAAAGAATTATTGATTTTTATTATCGTTTCCATTGAAAAGTACGATTAAAAAGACACGGCTTTCAGAGCCTTTTTACTGCGACAATGAAATAAATCATAAATGAATAAAAGGCTGTTTTTTATCCATTTTCCTTTCAAATCGGTTTATATCTTTATTATGAATTCGTTTATTTTATTAATGTCTAGTAACATTTAAATCTATTAATTACTTTTTATAAACATAAAAGATAAAACCAGAAATAAAATACGTATTCATAATTCGCTTTCATGGGACGCTAACTTTGACGGTTTATCGATATTACATATACTAACTTCATTCTTTCAGAAAATTATTTTACAAACTTTCAATTGCCCGTTATACATGACAACCGACTCATGAAATGTATTAACTCAAATGATATAATTATTTGATTTATTGGAGTTTAGATGAAAACTGGGTACAATACATTGCATTGAATGTTAATACTGTTGGTATTTACCATAGACCTACATTTAACTTTTTATAACGCATTGTATAAAAAAGCGTTTCTACTAAATTATATACAGAAAGATATATTACTTACTAAAGACTCAATATTCAAACCATGGGCTTTAATTTATTAAGGACGTTTATAATATGTTTTTGTAACGGATAAACTTGGTTTGGTAAAGGAGGAAACATTTTATTTCGTCAAATAACGTGCTGACTTTTGAAATGTCTTGTACGACAGTTTCAATTTCTAATGGATATATTTTATCATCTTCTAACTTGTACAACATTAATGAAACAGTGACTTATTATTGTAACACGTTTTACTATCTCTCCGGGAACCCACTAGCTACTTGTCTAGATACCTACGGTAACTGGACATCTATTCCTTCATGCCAGTTTGCAGCAACAAAAAATGGTAAGTTCGCATTAAGTGACTTACTTACATGTAGTTATAATTTCTTTTATTCGTATATTTTTAAAATTCTTAGTCTTCTAATACTACTATGGATAAAAACCATACATGTATATTCTATTCCAACTTTTCAATTGAAACACAATATGATTATAAAAATTATTCAGCAAATTTCTTGCAACATTTTGTATCATAGAAATAATGACTCTACACAATATTTGTTTAAATTCTATACGATGTTTGCGCTTCTAACAAAAGGCTAGCAAACCTATATGTTTAAATTATGCCCCAAAAAAATCCGGTAATTCGTTTATAGATTTTATTTATATAAAACTGCTCCGAATAATAGATAACTCAAATGCATACGGATATCCTTCAAAAACAGAATTGATCCATAAATTGATTGCTAACTAGAGTATGGAACTTCTTGAAATAATCTCAGAAACAGGAGGCGGGTCTAGGGAGTGGAGAAACCAGGTTTCTGATTTCTTAACAGGTTAAAGATGCTGGTTTATTTTAGTATTCTAGCCAATTTTAACAGCATCTACTTTAATAAAACAAAGAAATCAATTGCTGTTAATTAAACATACAAATTCACAAAACCCATCATAGTTTCCTTTCGAGCAGTTGCATTGCAAATGCTGAAGGTCTATTGATTTAAGGTTCAAGAATGATGTGTCAATGAAACATATACTAAAATAGAGGTCATATGATGTCCTTGATTTTATCAACCGCCAACTAAACCAACCAAGACATTGATAGTTTGTTTCTTGCTTAACATCCAGCGGAAATTATTTCATGTATATTCACGACAAGAACAAATTAACATATAATACAATGAGTATGTTCTGCAACGTAGGTCTAACAGGACAAATCAACAGGGCAGGAACATTTAGACTGCCACTGGAAAATTATGATATATTGGAAATTGGCAAAAATGTTGCACTCCAACAAACCACCTTCAAAACACCTAGAGAGTTGTTGCAAGGTTTTTTTTTAACATGCAGGTAGTATACAAAGGCCCTCGGTCATACCGGACATGGTGGCGTATTTACACATCCCGCACGATAAAACTCTCCACTTTAGCGTCAGTGAAGTCCAGAGATTACCATATTTTTATACCCCAAGGTTCCCAATTCAATAGATGAGGCGCAATAGTCTGTGCTGATCATATTGTCATTTATAATCGCGCTTGTAGGTAACTGTATAGTAATATTTAAAAATGTGAAAATAAGAGATTAAATATAAAGCCATGAAGAGAATGTTTAACACAACTAAAAAAATATATGAGATACTTTTGATAAACTTGTTGCATAGATAAATTACTTCACATATTTAGAATACTTATAGAGGTCTGTCATTTTAACTTTCAATTTGTATCTAAACTACATACATGTAAATGTTCTTGCTCGCACGTAAAACAACCATTTAATTACAGATCAGTTTTATTCTTGTTTGAAAGTTGAGACAGAATAAGTTTGTATATGCAGACGAGAAATATAACAAAAAATTAAGATATAATATGAACGTTGGTTTTCCTGTTTATGAATGGTTCTACACTAGTAATTTTTGGGGCCCTTTATAGCTTGCTTGTTCGGTGTGAGCCAAGGCTCCGTGTTGAAGGCCGTACTTTGACCTATAATGGTTTACTTTTACAAATTGTGACTTGGATGGAGAGTTGTCTCATAGGCACTAATACCATATTTTCTTTTCTCTAATTTTTCGTCAATTTATCCCTTTCTGCACCCATTGTATAAAAAAAAATTAATCAACGTGTGGTTCATTTGATCTCAGTTCTTCATTGGTTAAAATCCGATTATGACGTCGAATTTTCTTGCTTTCCTCTGAATTTCCTATTGTGACGGCATGAAAAAAGGCGACCATGCCTGATGACGTCACATATAAAGAACACATCTTTTTGCAGATCATTGAAAAAGAAGGAATAAGTTTGCCTGCATATTGTTTGAAAATCATTAGAGAAACAGATTCCACTACCAAATCTCGTGTAATACGATATTTATCCACTCTCGACAGTTAAATATTAAAAATTTAACTGTCTCGAGTGGATAAATATCGTATCACACTCGATGCAGTGGTAGAATCTATATATATCTAATTAATCGGAAAATGGAGATCGACTCAAGATTTTACTGTATCATGTCATTAAAACTTTATCAACTATTGACGTTAACCAATCATATGCTTCTATTTGTGAGTAATCTAGAAACTTTTATATCATCGATGCATTGACTGATCATTGGCTGTGCTTGATATCAAGTGGCAATCACTATTTACATGCTCTGGTCGAAATTGAGTTATTCGCAGAATAGTTATTGATGCGAAATTTATAAAAAAAATTGACGAATAATGTACATGTATGTTAATGTGATAAAACTAAGGTTCTAATATGACGTTCTTCAAACGCTTTGAGTACACACCCGTGGTAAAATTCGAATATATTCATATGTCCGCTGTTAGGCAACGTCATGTTTTGTTTGGGCTGTTCCAATCCTAATCCCACGTCGTAGGCTTTTTATGACTGATTTACCTCACGTCAGATGGTGTAAATGACGTCATTGAATAATGACGTAAGGATTTTACGGGAAAATGCACGAATAGGAAAATGAAAGTCGTCACTGTCGCTCGTGGTAAAATATTTAGCATAAAGGGCCAACCCATGGTAAAATCACAATAAATTCAAGCCCCCATGAATTATTTCTTTAATGCACTACTTCGGACAAACAAAATCTTAGACAGTTTTGAATTTTTGAATTTCATTTCTTTTGTTTTTATGCTCCCAAACGTTGTGCATTTGTTATTTTCAAAATTTTTGTCACCAGCATACTTCACGAAGGTTGTTTTCGTGCACACAAATTCGAGTTATGAGTCATTTACTGTTTTGGAGTTATGCCCATTTTTAACTTGGAAATTTGCTAAGTTTGAGCGGGGGCATTCGTGCCCTCAGACACATTCTTCTTTTATTTATAAAAAGGTGAATGTGGACCTGGATGAGGGAATGCAAATGTATAACGTATACAGACGGTGATTTTGGTTGTGTAAGAAAAGCATTACTACGGGTCACCTACAAACTCCTCCAAAGAAATAGTTAGGTAAAGGCGTAGCAGCCTAAAACAAGTGCCTGGTTGCGGGTGATGAATTGAACCCAATAATTTCAGGACGTTATTACATTTTCACAAATCCTACACAGCCGAACACATACGCACTGGTAAATTACCCTTCTGCCAGATCGGAGAATTCAAAGTGGAAATTGATTATTGCAGATCACATAGGTTGTTAGTCTTATTGAAATTGTAAACATGAACTTTATATTGATGTTAGACAGATTGATTTTGATTAACATTAAGTTGTGTGATTGTATGTAAGAAGTACGTCACATTAGTATTTAATTTACATTTTAACCAATTGAATTATAATAGTTCCAATTCCGCATATTATCAGGATCAAAACAGAAATTTAATTTGTATTTTAGTATGAATCAAGAATATTATGTTAAACACACCTACGATATTTGAGATGAAAAAGACTGTATCTTTAGTTTCATGTTTGTTCTTGTACTCAGTATGATATAACAATACTTTCCATTGATGTTGAAAATATTAGATAAACTATTGTTCACAATTGGTATTTGATATATTTTGAGTTAAAATTGTATAATTTTTCTAACAGTTTTTCCCTATTTTATGGTGTTGTAATTAAATGATAATTGATTGATAGTAGTAGAGGTGACTACTAGTATACAATTGTAGGTTCATCCCATTCTCAGTCTGGAATTTGATTTAATTTCGTTAATGTAATATTGTACGTAAGACACATGTTCAATATGTTTAAAACGTGCCAAGTAATGCACAAGATGCATGCCTTAATAAAAGAAAACATTTTAATAGGTAAGATATGTAATCAATCCTGTAATCTAAATCACTGTATGATATATTTTATTTATTTTTTTCTATTTATGATTAAGATTAATATTGTTTAAAGGAAAAGATAAACATGAAATACATTTGTAAATAAGGTAGTGTTGACAGTAATTTCATGTAAAGTAATGGTGAATTTATGTACCTAAATAACCGTTTTAACAAATTTCCGTTCAAAGGTGTTCATATTTATTCACGTTCTAGGGCATATTTTTCTAATTTTTCGTTGTTTCAACCATTATCTATATCCTTATTGATTATCAACTGAGAATTTTTGTTTAGGACTTGGTTTGGTCACTTGAATTGGAATGCAAAAAGTATTATGAATCTATCATATCAACATTCTATTAAAAGTAAATTTACAGAAAATGAACACAATTAATGTGCTGACTAATGGGCTGGTGATAATAAATAGAAAAAAAATCTGCAAATATTGTCTCAATTTGAGATGTATCTGAGATATGTTATGTAAATTCATTTGGAGTATGTAAATACATAAACAAAATAACAAAAAAAAACTACAGAAACCACACGAACCATTAACGAAGCGAGACATGTGCGTCGACAGGGTGAGCCTTTCTTGCAAGTAAATGTGACAATGGATTCAACGGAGATTATGTAAGATTCTACACTAACAACAAATTCCTATATCAAAGGAATCTAAAGATGACAAAATTCCTATCTTTGAAAATGTTCATGAAATGTGTTAAACTTGTATCATCTGTACTATGTCCTGATCATATCAACTGCTGCTATTTGCACTATTTCATGTCGATTTTTTATTAGCCTTGTCAATTAAGTAGCACTTAGTCCTATATACAACTTGTCATGTTTTCAATTGTTTTGGTCGGAGCGTTCCTGGAGAAGGTAAATCGAGAAAAGCGCTTCAATATAACGAAATTTAGAAAGTTATATTTGCATTAACAAGCACTGGATCGATACCACCGCTGGTGGACTTTTAGTGTTTAACCTCGATGGTATCATCAGCTCAGTAGTCGGCGCTTTGGTACTGAAATGATTTATAAGTAAGATTTAAACAAGGTACCAACTCTTTCAGGCAAATTTGAC